ATGCGAACTTTTGAAGATAAGGCGACTAGTTTAATAAATACAACAAATATACTTAAGTAGCAAACATATTTTTATGAACAAAAATCACTTCTATGAAAATGTTTTGAAATACTCTTGTTCTTTTTTCTTTTTTTTTTCTTTTAGAATTAGTGGTGCTTATTTGCTAGATATATTTATAACTTACAAGGACCTAATTTAGCAAATGCTTATGTAAGCTTTTTAAATTGTCATCTAATCACAACTTGCTATATATAATAATTTTATTAAAAAATTGAATTTCCATCCAATCACAACTTTGTTATATGTATAAGTTTATCACATTTTTAAATTATATCAATAATTACTTTTAATTAATAAATAAATAATATGAAAACTTTTACACTCGTCTAAATAAATCCGTCGTTTTGTTTGGTTGGGTATTTTTATCAGAAACTAACGTCTACCCAAGCGAGAAAGGTTTTTATTTTCAAACTCAAATTAATATAATTATTTCAAGTTAATGTATTAATTTTTTTTGTTACATATTAAACTATTTCATAAGTTAGTATTTGAGCTTTAACATATCAAATAGTCTAAAAATCTTGAATGTGATCCTAAAATGTTTATTAATACATAAAAAAGATTTAATTCATTTACGTCAAAATAATTATATTTGTTTATTTTCAAAGTTTGAAAATCAAATTATATGCAAATTCAATTTTCTACCAAAGTTTAATGACTTAAAAACATATTTCTAATAGTAATAATAATACCTAAATAAATATTATTAACTGATTGGGTAATATAATTAATATTGGTGATGAATGTAATCACTGTCTTCTTTGTCGGAAACACTAGTTTTTCTGAAATGATCACAATACGGATAAAATTTTTCCATAAGGTTTCAAAATAGATAATAATTTATAACTGCGAGAAAAAATTCTGAACATTTACAGATAATTTAATGGATTGAAAGACTTCCAACACAGACCAGTGAAGTAACTATCAATCATGTTGTAAATGATTTGACAGTATCCACCGTTTTGTTAGAAATTGTTTTCTTTAAAATGAGTACGCATATTTTAAAAAATGTGAAAACAAAAAGTTGCAGTGTTACTTACTTACCATGGAAGCACTGTTATCCAAGCGTGTACAAGAAATGGTGAGGAATGGTGAGGAACCACCTCCACCTTATGTTCGTAGAGATGTTAACTATACACAAATCGTGCCTTCAACGTTATGTTCACCACCCATCATTGATTTTGGGCTCATATCTTCATCAACACCATTAACCAAACAAAAAGAAGAGCTGCAAAAGCTAAGATCAGCTCTCTCCTCTTGGGGATGCTTCCAGGTATGTACTTGACAATTTTATTTCAATTTGTAAAATTGTAGATTTGTAGATACCACTTGCACAAGCATACCATATGATCTTTTTTGGAAGGCAATAAACCATGGCACATCAAGCACACTTTTGGACAAGGTTCGTGAAGTTGCAAGGGAATTTTTTACGCAGCCAATGGAACAAAAGAAGAAAATTTCCAAAGGGGTGAAAGAATTTGAAGGGTATGGTGCGGATCCAGTTCCCGAAGAAGGTCAGTTTTTAGATTGGTCAGATCGTTTGTGCCTTGATGTACACCCTGAAAATAGAAGGAAGTCAAGTTTGTGGCCAGAAAATCCTTCTTCTTTTAGGTAAACTGAAACTACTACTTCACTGATGAGTGAGGACTTCTTAAATCTTAATTCTAATTATGCAGACAAATGTTCAAACGGTTGGCAGGTGACATGTTTGTGTTGGCTAAGATTAGTAACACTCTTTTTTGCAGGAAAATTGTGGAAGAATACACAGCAAATCTGAGAGAGGCAACAAATCTTATTTCTAGAGCTATTGCTAAGTCATTGGATTTAGAAGAAAATTGCTTCTTGAATCAATTTGGTGAACACGCACTACTGCAAGTGAGGTTCAACTACTATTCCTGCTGTGCTCAACCTGACATTGTGCTCGGGCTTAAACCCCATGCAGATGGTTCAGGGTACACCATTATACTGCAAGATGACGTTGAGGGCCTCCAAGTCCACCGTAAGGATAAGTGGTTCACAGTTTCCACAATTTCTCATGCCCTATTTATACTCATGGGTGATCAAATGGAGGTATATATGTGTTGTTAATTGTGTTTCATAACATTTTCTCCAGCAAACAAACGAGTTTCGAACATGACATTTTACTAAATTACCTCAAAATCTAAGTAGTGTGAACATTTTCATTATTCAATTGATGTTACAACTTAACAACTATGAATCAAGTTCTTTTTTTTCTTTTTGTATTTCAGATTGTGGTGTGCCCATCCAATTTAAAAATTGTTACTTTTTACTTAATTCCGAAACATGGCATGGCAGTGGATATCAGGAGCAATATAGGTGATAATAGTGATCTTTTTGACATTGCAGATAATGACTAATGGAATTTTCAAGAGTCCTATGCATCGGGTATTGGTGAACTCCAAGAGGGAAAGAATATCTGTTGCAATGTTCTATACTCCAGAGCCAAACAAAGAAATTGGACCAGAACAAGGTTTGGTGAATGAAGAACAACCGAAGCTGTTTAAGAAAGTGAAAGATTATGCTGATACGCATTGGGAATATTATCAACGAGGAAGGAGAGCAATTCATGTAGCAAAAGTATGAACCACAGTTGTTGCATTTGTGTGTGATTATAAATTCAACAAAAGAAAACATTTATGGTGAGAGTACACTTCTAATGGCTGTAACAGCTGCAAGACTTTGGACTGCTATTGAATATTATTAGTTAAATAAAAATAAAGACTTTAGGTATATTTTAGTCATTAAAACAGTTCATTTCTGTATTTATAAAAAAGAAAAAGGTTGAAAGATAAAACAATTGGTGGAAAGTGTGTGAAAATGTGTAGGGTGTCAAATAGTACCCAAAAATAAAACCTTACGTGTAGCTAATTAAACATGTGTGTAAAACAAAGTTATGAGGCAATTATGAAACAAACATTGGTGTTTCTTCCGGTACTTCCAAACATTTTTTTTCTGTGTCTTCACATTTCAAAAATAGTCTTAAAATTTCATTTTTCTTTAATAAATTTTGGATTTTGTTAAAGGATTTTTTGTTAGACAAATTTCAAAATTCGTTAAAATACAAAAAAGAATGTAAGTTCTTTTTAATTGCGAAAGATAGTTTTGAAATTTTAAAAAGATATGAGGTTGCATAGAGAAGAGAAATGTGTGGAGGTGTAAGAAGAAACACTTACAATTTTTCATCCGAATCATCTATACATATTTTTGAGTTTCATCATTAAAAAATAAAAAAAAAACATTTATAATCTCTTAAATAATGGTTAATAGACGATAAAATGTAGCAAAAGCCTTTAACTAAATGAACGGCCGGCCCAAACTTTAAAGGAAATGCAGGTCCAGACCAGATTCCGGTATTCCAATTCAGTTAAAATGAGATGAACTTTAGGCGGTAGCTTCTTCTTGCTCTTTCATATTTTATTATCTTTTTTAACCTTTTTGAATTATAAAATTTGAAAGTTTCCTTTTCAAAAAAAAAAATTGTTTACGGACTTGAAAGTCACTGGATTTTACAATTTTAAAAGGGCAAAAATAGGAATTTTCTTTATATGAGGTGCAGGAGTAATATATGGAGGTGTAGGAAGAAGCTTCCAAGCGAAAAAATGTTGTTGGGCTAAAACTTATAAATTCTTGTCCGTTTTTAACCTAAGCCCAGAAGGCCCATTAGCCGAGCCACCCTTTGTAAACTGTAACGAGCTCGAGAGGATCTTCCATGGAGGCATAGACGGAGACATGATCATGAACCGGAGAAAGTACAGATTCTTATTTTAAGCGAAATTTGGGGCAGCAGCGAGCTAAATCCTCTATCAGAATTACCTTACCTCTCTGTACTGTCTCTGGTAACTTTTCTTTCTTTCTTTTCCTAACATCTTTATTTGCTCTAGGTTGTAGTGTAGTTCGATACTTGTTTCATTTTTCACACCGTTTTGTAAATTGATGAGGGGCCCTTCCCTAATGAAAATACTGTGGTATAAATGGTGTAGTGGTTGAATTTGCGAATTTAAGTTGCGGCGTGCAATGCATTTGATTAAACGTCTCGCTTCCTTCTCTGCTTTAGTTTGAGCCCTTTTAGTTGCATTCTTACCGTTGCTTCTGCTCTGAATTTCAAATGGGAAGGTGCAATCTATAGTAGATTGTTTCGTCAGTTATGGCGGCGTTAATTTCCAAAAGGCTACTACGTTGTTCTTCTGGGTCCTTGCCTTCACTGGGACGATGCTACTTTAATTCACCTAATGCTGCGTCTGCCCCTTTTTATCAATCACGTTGTAAGACCTTTTATATCCTTAACCGTGGACAGTTGCCATTTCCCGTCAATTTGATTTTTGTTCTTTTTTCCATCTTTTATAAATCTTTATATTTGCGATTATTTTTTGTGCACAGATGTATACAGCAGATTATCTGGGGAAAGACTCCTTTCTGCAGAATCTTGTTTGGTACATTACCATAGCATTTGAATATATTTCTATATTTGTTACTACTTGCAGGATGAAAGCTTAATCAATGTAGCTCTCTCTTGTTCTGACTTTAACTGACTCTTCTTTAATAATGTGGTATAGTGTGTTTAAATGTAGGTCAGATCAATGATCCAACAATTTTCTACTTCTATTTTAACTCCTGGGCCTGATGAGAGCGCATTTCCGTCCGATTTATTGTCCAAGAAGGCTCTAGCAACATCTGAGCGTACTATAGGTATGAAGGATAATTTGAAGCATCTTGTACCCCAGAATATAACTGTGCTTCTGTTTTTGCTGACTCTGATATTTATTTCTGAAAGGAGAGTCAATCGACTGCTAGGCATGAATTCCAGTGTGGTTTAGATTATGAGATATTTTTTGTAGTCTATTTTGTATGATCTAGACTAATATCTTCCGTGTCTATGTTTCTTCTTGATTTGTACTACTTCTGAAGATACAAAATTTACACCAAATAAAAACATGTGGGATTTACTGAAATGCATTTCTACATATTTACATGTCAGAACTTGCATATAGTTTGTTCTAAAATTGATCCTGTAAGTGAGATGCTAATATTTTATTCATACTTGATGATCTTATTCTGCTCTGAAATTAAAGGAACTTGGGCCCAGAGTTTAACTTTTTGTGTCCTCCACAAAAATCATGTATTTATTATCCTAAGTTACCATTAGTTTTCCCTAGTTTTTAATTGCATGAAGGCCACAACCTTGTTATTATTGGAAAATCCTTGTGGGGTTGCATGGGAATCACAGTGAAGGTGCTTATGTAACACTCTTCCAAAAAGCCTTTACCTAGGCACTGGTTAGGATTCTCATTATTATAAATCAAAATTTGGAGTGCTTCTTTTGATTGTTTCACTGTTTTCTTCACTACCTACCTTCTTTGGTGACATCTTGATCACAGCATGTGCTGATTTTTGTCTCAATAAGATTCTAGAGTGTCTTGATAAAGTTCAATATATTTTAGGGCTTTGCCAGGATCTTTTAATTCCAGTTACCAACTTTCATAATGAAGACAAGGGCTTTATGGTGTTACCTGGAGATGTTTTTGATTTGCCTATTCGGAAGGACATTATTCATCGTGTCGTTAGGTGGCAGCTTGCAAAACGACAACAGGTAATGACTGCTTAATGTTTTGGAATCTGAAGATTGTTTCTCATTGTCATTGCATATGTACAATACAGAGGAAATGCTATATTTATTTATTTTTTAGTCAAGATGGTGATATTTTTCTATATTGCCTTTTAGTAATTTTGGGGTTGAGGCAAGCATTTTGGTTTGGGACCAAACTATAATTTAGAATGTCTATTCAAATGTTTTAATGATAAAATATTTTCACTGTTATCGAAGGCGTAATAGTTGAATATATGCACACACATATTATCTAGGAACATGGATCTAAATTTAGCTATGGAGTCTCTATGAAAATATTATATATTTTGCTAATTGATTTGGTCAACAGGGGACTCATTCAACAAAAACTATCAGTGAGGTCAGTGGGACTGGAAGAAAGCCTTGGAATCAAAAGGGAACTGGTAGAGCAAGGCATGGTTCATTGCGTGGGCCTCAGGTAGTGGAGCATTCTGCTCATTACTTGATCATCTTTATTCCTTCACATTTCTTCTGTTCTTGTTTTTTTCAGCAGTTTGAAAATAATAAATTTTTTGAATGGTAACAGTTCAGGGGTGGTGCCACTATGCATGGCCCCAAGCCTCGAAGCCATGCTTTCAAAGTCAATAAGAAGGTTCGGCGTCTAGGGCTAAAGATTGCCTTGTCCGCTCGTGCAGCAGAAGGAAAGGTGAGTTTCCCCCACCCATGACCTTATTCACCGTCAAAAATAAAAATATGGCATCTCTACATTATTCTATCTCCTACATGAGTGTTCATTCTTGCTTATACTCAATATAGTGTGATTTTTCAGTTTTCACTTCTGGAAGATTTGGTTTCTATAATTTACAAGTAAATTGTTTAATGGTTTAGTAGCCTAACTGAAAAGATACACGATTTTTTTATTTTTTGTAAGGGTTCCTTTTGTTGTTGATATCGAAATTAAAGGTATAACATATAAGGTATAAGATATTCTTAGTTCAGTGAAGTGATTGTGTTGTCAGCCACACCTCAGCCTACCTGGTTGACAATCAATCATAATGTTTTTATTACCTCTTTGACTTTTTAATTATATCATTTAACGTAAATATATTTGACGATTTCATATACTTATGGAAGTAACCAATGTGGGAACTTCTTTCAAATGGACACCTTCATGTGTATATCTTCACAGAATTGTGGTTGGGGTGTAGGGAAAATTGAAGTAGGAACAAAGGAATCATGCATCTAGATTTATGACGAGGAATCTGAGTGCAAAGATCTTAAGATCATTTATAATATGTTAAGTGTAATAAGCCCTGCTCAGAATGCTTGCCCCCGACTAAACTTGACACTCTAGAGTCTGGTTGTTATCAGCTAGAAATGTGACTACATAAATACAATAAAGCCTCATAAAGGAGCGTAACGGGAAACTAGGAAAAAGAAAATCAAATTATGAAAAGACAATGCTCGTACAATAGCTCTCCTTTCCTTACTGCTTTTGTCAAGGTATAATGGTTATTTTTGGCATGTATTCCTATCCTGATCCTTATAATCGTATGCTCTGATATGATAGATCGTATTTCTTTTAGTTGTTTAGTATATAGCGTTTTTGCTTTCATCCAATAATTATCTTGTTTGTCCTTATTTTGTTTTTTATTACTGCATTATATCTCACATAAGAGTTTCTTCGTGCTAATATTCTGGGGAACTTTGTTTACAGCTTCTTGTGTTTGAGGATCTGGAGGTTCTCACACATAAAACCAAAAACATTGTGAAGTATTACGATCAAATGGAGAACACCAAGAAACTTCTGCTTGTGGATGGCGGGCCTATAGATGAAAAGTTAAAATTATCTACACAAAATCTACACTATGTTAACATACTTCCCTCCATTGTAAGTTTCAGTTTTTATCCATTTGAAATTTATAATGTTTCTTAGAGTCGAAGCATTTCCAACAGTGACAACAGTACATGGATTAATAATCTATTGACACAATTGAGATCCCCAATTGATCATATACGGCAATAGAGCTTATATGGTTTGGGCAATTTTCATTTCATGAGCTAGTCATTGGGGTTGAGACCGAAATTGAAGATAATGTCAAAGCCTATAATATTTGATATGGGGCCTCAACTGTTAAAAAAAAAGAACCTGGTTCGGCAGCTTTCCCTCAATCTTACATTAGATACAATCCTTAGCATTAGGGAGTGGGTTAAAATCTCACGTAGATTATATATGTGACTAAAACAGAGTTTACAAGGGCTTTGGCAGTCCTCACTTCACGAGTTCGCTCTTGGAATTGAATTAGGCTCAACCTAGATACCATTGGCTCCATCAAACAACAAATTTTTAGTAAAACTATTTATACCAAATTCTTTTTTAATGGTTTGTCCCAGCTGCTTTATTCATTAGAACATCTAAGATCGAACGGAAGATGGTCCTAAACGTGTTTGAGTAGCCATCGGGGAGAAAATAGTTAAAGACGATCTCCATTTGATCAAATAATCTGTACCACTTGTGGTATGATGCAAATTATTCCAAAATTTCACCTCCGAAACATTGGTAATTCATGCCTCATTGAATCTTGTAGATTTTGCTAGTTCCAAAGTTTTTCCTAAAACATTTTTTTTATATATTATATTAGTTATGTTTTTTATATAGTTATGTTTAACATCTTTTTTGTAGGGCTTGAATGTCTACAGCATTTTGCTGCATGACACATTGGTGATGTCCCGAGCTGCGGTGAACAAAATTGTTGAGCGGATGCGTACTCCAATTAATCGTTGAGGCTAAAACTATTTTTTTGTGCTTTACTTCTTTTACTCAAAAATAGGAATTGTATCCCATGTCCCCATTTCTGTAACATAAAGAGATCCAATGAGTGGTACGAGATTTCTGTTAAAAATTACATAAGTGAGGCAACTTATGCCATTTTGCTCATGTTGAAGGTGAACTTAGGAAATTGTTGGTCTAATTTGAATGTTCAAGGGGTTAGGTTTATCATGTTTTCCCATGACTAAATCTCGTATATTTTTCAATCTTTTCACATGCATAAGATTTGATAAACCGGCATATGTCATCCCTGTCCTTCGATCATGAATTTATCTAATATAATGCCTTTTACTTTCAGTGGTTGGTAAGATTAGGTACTATTATTTTCACATTCAACATATTTTTTTACGTACAATTTACATATAATATTTAATCTTTTAACTTTTTTTTCTTACAATTACAAAAGTTAATTATTTTAATGATGAAAGAGATATTTAATATAGGATAACATAATGATTAATTTTAATGATTAATTTTAATGATTAATTTTAATGATGTTACTTGATAAACTTAAAAAAAATATATTGACTATTTCAAACCATCGGTTCTTAAGTAATTGGAGATGACCAAGCATACTCTTTAGATCTCATGTTTTTATCACACTTAATATAATTGGACATGTTTTTATCACACTTAATATCTCATGTTTTTTAAAAGTTGAAGTCTAAACAATATATAGTAATTGATTTTAAAGATATTATTAGATAAATTTAAGGTAAAAAAAATATCATTCTTTATCGTTAAAAATACAAAATAAATAAACCAAATCCTCCACTAGAAGTTCATTAGTAAAATTTCAAAGATTGTTAGTAAGTGTTTACATAATTATTAATTTAAACTCCTCAAAATAAATATTTTAAAAATATTGAACAAAACTTATTATCTATAATTAATGAAAACACATACATGTTAAAAAAATAATAAAATTAATTATAAAAATAAATATAAATAATTTTTACAATTTAATTTTAAATATTTTTATTTATTTTGTAGGTAGATTTTATTTACTTAGTAAATATTATTTATTTATTTAATTTAAAATAATAGTAAAAATAAAAAAAAACTATTAAACTTAAAAATCAATTGAATTTAAATAAAACTTGAAAAAGGTTTAAAAAAAATAGACACTATAAGGAAAAAAATCTGTTTACATGTAGTTATAGAAACACTTTTTAACCTATCTTTACCTAAATATAAACTTTTACACCAACTTATTTCAAATAAGATTAACAGAATCTCACCAAATTTTTTAGTTACGGGAATACTTCTACAAACACCAATATAGAAATGAAAGTTCCTTTCTTATATATGAGAAGAAAAGTATTACTGGCAAAGTAAAAATATGTATGAACCTACTTTTAATACAAACATGCTCCGACCGACCCCAGGATTGTTTGATTAGCTGTTTAAACCAAAGAAGTCCACTTTCCAGATCCTTGACAATTTCTAAATTCTCCATTTCATACTATGAAAATGTATCAAGGCACTCCAAACATGCTCTGACTAAAAAGGAAAAGGAGTTTACTGTAAATTCAAACTAGTTGCAGGGCCATGCACAAGAAGACAATAAAGTGCTAAAAAATGCAAGAGAAAAAGGCCAAATGCGTCTGTTAGAGAAATTGAAAGGAATTAGAGAACAGTGGGACCGTGTACCGTCACAATAATAATCCAACTCATTACAAATTAATAGCATCCACACTCTTTTCCAAGGCCTTTATGTCGGTAGTTGAAATTTCATCTGTGCTTGCCAACAAAGCCTAAAACTCATAAAGTTGATTCCTACAATTCTCTTTTTATAAGACTATTTTGCATCAAGGACTTTAAAATTATATATATTACACCATGATGAGGTAACTAAATATACACTTTATTTTCCAGAGTAATTTCTAAATGTTGTGTGAGAAAATCCAACAAGTATTAGTATCTTAAAATTGCTTGATACATTTTCACAAACTTTCTACTCCTTCCTTGCTTCCTGTGTTTTATAGTAGTAAATTTTTAAACGGGACAACTGCACAAAATTGCAAAAGAGTAAAAAAGACACCAACACTTAAAATGACATGTCTATGGCCTCATGTTCTGGGGTCTTGTGACCAATGCCAGATTCGTCACTGGGTCGTCTTTTAACCACACTTGCTCTTTGCACTAGTCGGACTAACGCTTGCACCACCTCAGACATTGGAGGTCGAAATTCAGGTTCCGGCTGTGTACAAAATCAAACTCATTAACATCTTCTGAAGAATTATGGTGTTAGCAATAACACCAAATAACTCTAGGTACACATATTGGTCAACAATACAAATTACTACAATTGTCTCTTTAAGGTGCATTAAATACACCCTATTCAATGCATCCAATGACTAGTACTACTATTTTTCTATAGTAATACTTTGCAATCAAACTTTTTTCCCACAAGTTGGAATGAGCAACAAAAAAAAATCAAACTGAAATGCTTTGTTGTGAACAGTGTATATAAACAATTCAATCACCATCATATTCTTAATAGTTTTTCCTGTAGTTTTTCTCGGTTGTCCTTTACCTATACAGGACTGTTCTCTATCTGATTCAGATTTAGTCTTCTTATGGAACCTCTGTCAGGTCTACTACACATGTCTACACAATCTTAGGCAAGATTCTTATGTTTGTTCTTTTAATAATAAACCCTACCTAAAGATTCTCTCTAGTTTATTCATTCTTAATCTTGTCTGATATGTCCACATTTCCCTTTAACTCTAGTAATAGGACTATCCACTATCTTGTCATAGTCCTCTTAGAGGAGCCTCGTTGGACTTTTCCACGTAAGATGATACCTCAACTCTCTCTTTTAATACATTCATTTCTCTAACTGTTTTGTATGTATACTCATCCAATGGAACATTCTTGTATTTACTATGTGAATTTTATCGTTTTGTTGGCTTTTTACTTCCCAACATTAAACTTGAGGGGCATCTTTTGTCATGTATAACAACACTAGAGGCACTTAGCCTTTTCATTCAATAAAGATTTCTTTCGCTTCTTTTGACAGATGCCCTTTGGTACCAAATAGCATTTTCTCTATTATAACGACTAAACTAGAACCAGAAATAAATGCACTAGTGCAGTAAATGAAAATAAGTACTAAAACAAGTTGCTAGCGATCAGTCGTTCATGTTCTACCTGAACACAGAGGGCAATGATATCAGCAAAGCGTGACAGTGACTTTGCAGGATACATGCCATTCAAAGTAGGATCCACCATTTTTGCCAAGGCATCTATATCATGGAGTTGGGGTGTAGCCCACCTCACAAGTGACTGCTCTGATCGAATTCGTGAACTAAACTTGCAAAGATTTCAAATGAACGTAAGAAGCCATACAGAAAAGAACAAAAAAATAATAATCATGAGCAAACATTAAAGTGATGAGCATTTTTAATTTTCAAAGTGTATGCTAGACTCACCTGTCTAGCGGCTTCCGACCTGTCAACAATTCCAGCATAACCACCCCAAAGCTGTAAACATCACTTTTTACAGTGTATACTCCTGATAATGCAAACTCAGGAGCACTGTAACCAAATGAACCGACCATCTGAGTCGATACCTGTTAAAACTCAATGATTTTAATCAATGTAGTAAGCAAATATCAAAGAAAAGATACAATAAAAAAACCATGCGCAGCTGTTTAAGGAAATAATATTTCACCAACCTGCCGCTCTGTGTTTGGTGTCAAAGCAGCTAAACCACAGTCAGACAGGTGAGGATTTAGCTCCTCATCAAGTAATATATTTGCTGATTTGAAATTTCTATGCACAACAGAGGGCAAACACACTTCATGCAAGTACCTGATAGACAAAGCATAACTCAAGAAATCAGCCTTTATGCCATATACTAACTCACCCTACAGGCTAAAGCAAATAAACTAGAGGGTAAAAACAACAGGGTGGGGTAGCCTCTCAAGGCCATGCCCAGGAGAGACTTAATATGTTAGATATACTCATGAAACATACTCTAATGCCCGGGCTGTGCCAAGTGCTATGCGAACACGAGAATTCCAAGACAAAGCCTTGCCACTGTTTTCTTCAGCAAAATGGAGCATGTCATGCAGATTTCCATTTCCTATATACTCATAAACTAGAAGTCGTTGGCCATGTTCAGCACAATATCCAGTCAATGTCACAATGTTCGGGTGCCGCAGGCGCGACATATTTGAAACAGCTTCAAGAAAATTGTCTTCCTCCTGTAATGACAGTGCAGAGTTGTCGATCTTCTTGATAGCCATTTCCTAAACAAATGCCAATATCAGAACCATTAGAATGTTATAAGAAAATAAAAACGATTTTTCCAAGTTCAAATTCATAAGAAAATAAACATCCATCATAGAAAAAGAAAATGAAGAAACAGGCAAAGATAGATGGATCATTGTACAAAAACTGTGTTAAATGACAATCAGCCTTGGTGAATGAATAAGTAGACACCGTGAACCAGATGATTTCTGACTTGCGACTGTAGAAAAAATAAGTAAACAAAGAAATTCAAACCAAATGAAAGACTAAAAACATCTGAAGAAGAAAAAAGAATCATCGCTTAACATTCAGCAAAAAGGGAATTACTGACGTAGAAAGAATGTCTATAAACTCTCGGGACATTCATCCAGCACTGGTTCAAATATTTCCCATCTTAGTTTGAAAGAAATTTTTCATCCACAGATAAAAACAATAAATTCCAAAAATGCAGTGGAAAGGGAGATAACAAATGCAACACTAAAAGGTGTTACCTTCCCATTTGGGAAATCAGCCTTGTAAACACGGCCAAGAGAACCTTCACCGATTATAAATTCTTGACTAAAGCTATTTGTAGCACTTTGGAGAGAAGCAATGGTGTACGATGTTGAAGTTATAGGGGACTTCATATGCCGTACTGATCCACTTTTAGTAGGTAATCTCTCAACTGATACATTTTCTGCTGGGCGAGGCTTCAGGTCTGTAACAACATTAGAACTCTTTACCCTCTGCTCTTGCATCTGAGGAGTAACTGATCACAACCCATAAAAAAGCTAAACTAGTCAGGATGCATAGATGCCAAACAAACCAATCATAAATAGTATAAATTTCAAAACAAAATTAGTTGTATAAACAGCTTAAAAGATTAATGCAAACGAATTTGTAAAAGAATAAAGAAAAATGTCACCATAACATTTGTGATAACAGTTTTTTATTTGAGTGGGTGTTTGCTTGCACATTTGACATGTGCATTTGTTGGTATATTCACATCAAAACTCAAGTTTACACAGCAGCTACAAGATAATATGTTGGTATTGACATGGATCTAACTTAATTAACATTAAACCAAACATGCTATAAAACTATAATGCTTTATACATGGAATTTACACCAAATAAAAAGCTCCAAATCCTAATTTTCCCTAAAAATATCCTTCTAAACACTTTATCTGTATCTGTATCTGCTCCCTTTAGTACCTCCAAATATTGGGGCAAATTAATGCACATACCATATTGAACCACATTTGACAAAGAACCCAAATTACAGAATCATAATCTGTGTGTGTGGAAACAAAAAAGAAAAAAGGAAAGGAATTCACCATTAATAACTCCACGAGGAAGGCTCCCACTAAAATTCCTTGCACCCTTTTTCTTCCCCTTTTGCTTTTGGATGCAGAAAATAAAAGCAAGCAGCACAATGGCAGCCACCACTATGGAACCTAACACAATGCCGACAACAGCCCCCACTTTCAAACCCGTGTGACCATCAGAATTTTCATTATCAGAGGCTTGTGTTTTATTATGTGAGCCAGATCCAGAATGATGATGATTACGGGATCCACTGGGAGGAGGAGAAGTTACTGCTGGTGGAAGAGGAGCAGGAGTGTTCTCAAATGAATTTCCATCATATCTAGTCCATATTTAAAGAGTCAAAATAACCACAATGTTAAAGCTATTAATTAGAAAACACAAAGGCATTTCAAACAAAAATCCATAATACTTACATGAAAAGACGTATGGAAGTAATTTCACGAGGTAGCCATCCACTGAAATTATTGTTCGCAACATTTCTGGAAAATTATATAGCAACATTAGAAACTGATATGCAGATAATAAAGGCCAAATGGGAGAAGAACTTACAAAGTATCCAAAGGCAAACCGACGAGAACACTAAGAGAACCAGTCAACTGGTTTTTCTGCAAGAAACTACAAAAGAATTTTGATAAGCCTTAACTTAACATTTACTGCAAATCACTATCAGTCCATCAATTAAAATATCAACCAACATACAGGGAAGAAAGATTGGCCAGTGAACCAAATGAAGGAGGAAGATCCCCCGAGAAGTTATTGAATGATAGATCCCTGCATCATTGAAAAGGAATGCAAACAATCATCAGATAATATTCCATCATAAAACTATTATTAGTAAGTCCATAATATCCAATCAACCAATTGACAATTTAAGGTTTCTGTATGAAACTGTTCCTCTTTATCTACTGTTCTATCAGATTTCCGCTAGAGCATAGACTCTATATTAGTGCGGTAAATTGATTTGGATTCTGATATATGATACTAAAAGTATGAGTCAAGTATAAAGTCAATTTATGAGCACGCTTTAAGGCCAAATCCAAAACTCAGAAAATTTGGTCCGAAAACAATAATAGCCCAATCCTAAAATGTAAAAGTTCATCTATTCAGCCAAGGAAAATGCTTATTCATATATTTTGAGGGGTAAAATCCATCAGAAAATGATTAACCATTGCCATAAATCAGCATTATAAACATTAATTTCTTAATCAGAATAAGAAGAAAATGAAAGAAAGGGAAGTCGGACTTAAGACATAACGTACTATATCTTACAAGACTTACAGGATATCTAGATCTGAAAGATTAGCAAAAACATCGCCAACTGCCATGGACAGTGCATTATTGCTTAAATTCCTAAAAACAACAAGAAAACACAGTAAGCGGCTCCAATGTATGATCAAATTGATATTATGAAATAAAACTATATACACCGAAAAGAAACTTACAAATAATTGAGAGAACCCATAGCAGAAAAGGAATAAGGAAGATTTCCAGATAAATTGTTTCTTGCAAGATTCCTGATTGTCCCAATTGAAAAGATATGACACGATTCAGAAAAGGAAATAACATTCCTAGTAAAGAAGCAAACTTACAACGATAAAAAGATGAAATGAGTAAATGGAGTAAATATTACAGGCTTGTAAGATTTGGCGGCAACTGGTAGGGAATTGTATCATGGATCTTGTTGTCACTCAAGTCACTGGAAAAATACAAAAATAAAATTGAAAAACCAATAACCATTTAACAGCATTTGTTAAAACAATAAAGATTATATGTAGTGTGTCACGAAATTACAGAGTAAAATGATCTCACAGCTTTCTGAGTGACATAAGGTCCGAAAGCAGGTACCCCAGAGTCCCATCGAGTCCTAATCCTGAGAGCTCACTAGCCAGCATCACAAAAAGATGAATTAGTTTTCTCGACCACAAACAAGCCTGAAAAAAATTGTACAGCAACCGCGATTTCGGTCACAACAGCAAGGTTTCCAGAACATTTGTCCGCAATTTCCAGCAATGTCAAGGATTGCGACAAAATCATAGCTGATAAAACCTTGACAATAATAAACACACTTAAAAAGGTAAAAAATAAAAAAATTAAAAGTATGCAATATGACATGAATCTCATACATGGAAACAACGGCTGAACCTTCACAAATGACCCCTTTCCATGACTCTCCACATGGATCACCACCACCGATTCTCCAACCCGTTAACTGAGTTGAACTATTCAACGCATTGTACATAACCTCGAGAGCTTGAACTGCAACAGAAACAAAACATCAATAAAAAAGACCATTTTGGTATGAACAAGCACCCACACCCACAACTTCATTACTTGCATTACCACGTATGTCCTCTGCACCCAGAGTCCAAAAAACAAAATCAAAACCAAATGCCCTCGACGCAAAATCAAATTTTTTTCCCCCAAGAACAATCACTCCCCAGTTCCCATCACATGACTACATTAAAACCGATCCCATCAATCAACCGCCGCATGATCACTCCTAAAAACACAAAAAGAGAGAAAAGGAAGTAGCAGTAATATATTACCATCAGTAGGATCAGTGTTGGCGAGGGAAAGAGGAAGAAGAGAAAGGAAGATGAAAGCGAGGGAGGGAGAAAGGGAGGAAGGATGGGCAGGCATTGCGGTCAGAATCGTGGTTCAGGTGTGGAGACGCACATGCAGAGTACCATGGAGGCGAAAGAGATGTCAAAGGAGAAGAGGAAAACAGGGGTAGCAGTAGTAGAAGTAGTACCGTAGTAGTTGAGTTTCAGATCGCGACTGGTTGTACAAGGCAGGGCCATTAAAGAAAGAAAGGGACAGATATTAGAGATTCGAAGCTTGGTGTAATGAAGAGAGAGAATAACCAAAAGCACACAAGACTGTTGTGTTGTGCTGTGTCGCTTTGAGTGTGTGAGTTTGTGTGTGTCGGCGAAAATAAGAAACTCGAAAAAATTAATACTACAATGTACTGCTAACATAATAATGCTGTAGAGCTAATACTAATAATATAGAAAAAAGCGAAAAATAATAATGTGAACTGGGTGGATGTTTATATTATTTTATGGGGTCCCACACCTTTTTTCCCTTCTGAGGTTTTGGATTTTGTGGCTTTCGTTTGCACATTCTCATTCTACACCTTTCGGGCTTTTACCCTTCAAACTCTGTCATTTCAGCTTTCCCAGCTTCTCTTCATTTCATACCACTTTTGTAGTCTTGTTTTCTCTCTCCGGTCACATCCTCACACCTGCTACACGGGGCAAATTTAATTCAAAATCACTATCAGATTAGTCTTCATTAAAACTCGCAATCGCGTGTGTTCAAACATGAAATCAACCATAAATCAGTAACTTACTAGGACAAGAAGATAGAAGAGATTTGGAAATGCATTAAATTGAGATCAAAATGCAAATAATCCCTGTCAGCACGTAATTTGGAATTTTAGGGAATGATAAATATTGATTGTCTTCAAAATTACTATCAGATTTGACGCATTAGGTACTCGTCCAGCTTTATGTTGTTGAGGTGCCCAGTCTTGCATATTAGGTTGAAGCAGTTTATACTGTGTAAAATTTAAACTTTGAATTTGAATTGGTTATGAAAATAATTTCTTTAATTAAGCTTGATATAATATTAAAAAATGTGCTGTAATTATAACTCATTCATAAGTGAACCGGCTGGACACTATTACCGGCAATTAAGCCGTTCTCGGCAGCCGCCGGCATATGTATGGTCGGACATTAAATTCAAATACAACTTAAAAAGAGATTAGCGAAAGTAGTACACGAGGCTTAGTAATAAATGTGAGTACATAGTGTTTGGAACAGAATTAGTCTCTAAATAGTAATGATGAACTAATCTTATAAATACAACTACAAATAAAGATAAAAGGTACTTTTTTTAATATCTAATAATATTTGTTTGAGACTGTGAAACAATAAAATACTTATTTAAGTATTAGAATATCATTTGTAAGTATCTTTCAGATTCTTATTTAAATATATTTTGTCCAAGTATATGGTTTAATAGGATTATCTCGATGTTGTAAAAATATTTTGGCATTCATAGTAAGATGATACAATAATATTATTAGACCACGTGGTGAAAACAAGAAATATAATTACATTGAAAGGACATGAAAGTTCACGTAAGAAATGAAATTTTCTTTTATTATACCAACACATGGATCTTTGTGTTAGAATGAAACCTTAGTAACTACGCACTCTCTCGAGTCCAGAGTTAATGAATCGATCAAACAATGTTACAAGTTAGTAGGCGGTTCTTGACGTCCAATCAGACATTAAATTTAGCTTAATATCCCTTATAGTTCTTATTTTCGTTAGGTGTTTTCGATTTGGTTTCAATTTTTTTTTCTGTTAAATGTTATCCTAAAAAATGTAATTTTTGTTCAATTTAGTTATTTTTGCAAACGGCGTTTAAATCGTTAACGACAGACAGTCCAGGTGTGCACAAGACTAATAAGATGACATTTAACTTCTGCCACGTCACCATCTTCTTCAACCTTCATCCCAAAATTAAGGTTATGCATTTGGGGGAAACCTTCTCGCGCGTGCGCCGCGAGAAGAATGAAAACGCTGCTCACGGTTTTGCTTCAATGGAGGATGATTTCGCGAATTGTGCAGCTCATGGTAGCATGAAGAAGACGAACCTAGTTGTGTAAGAAAGCACTCATGGTGGTCGGTGGAGGCAAGCAGCGGGTTTCTTTGATTTGGGATTTTTCTGGATTTCGTTGTGGTTCTCTGCAGGTTGGAGAAGATGATGGCCCTGGAGCTTTGCGCGACGACAACAAGGATTGTCACGCTAACGATGAAGCTCGCGATTTGGATGATTCATGGATGATGTGCGAGAATGAAGATTCGAATGGAGTTCGAGATTAGGGTGGCTTGTGACATTATTGATGGTGAAGACTTAGGGTTTGGGTGGTGCGATTCAGCTTTCTCTGTTTTTGGGTGCTTGTGTTTGATTTGCAGGTACGAGATGCTAGCAGTGGCGGCTTGAGAAAATCCTGTGATGGCGGAGGCGAGGAGGTGATCTGGGTAGCGCAATGGCCTGAGGAGAGTTTCGTGATTTGGGGGAGATCGCGACTTTGATGGTGGTGGCCATGGAGGTTGCGTGTGATGGTTGTCATGGTTCTCTGCAAGTGCGGCTTCATGGCGGCATGATGACTTTAGACGAGGTTTGTGGCGGCGATGGCGTTAGGGTTTGGTGGCGGCGCTAGGGTAGGGTTTCAGTATTTGTTTGGGCATAAGGATGAAGAAGATGATAACATAGCAGTAGTTAAATGTCATCTCATTAGTCTTGTGCACACCTGGACTGTCTGTCATTAACGATTTAAACGCCGTTTGCAAAAGGAACTAAATTGAACAAAAATTACATTCTTTAGGACAACATTGAACAGAAAAAAAACTGGAACCAAATCGAACACACCTAACGAAAATAGGAATCGTCATAAGTATTAAGCCTTAAATTTATAAACAACTTAAAAGATGATTTGTGAAACCATTAAAGGAAACATAGTAATAAATGTGATTACACCTTGCTTGGATTAGGATTAGTTTGTAATAAACAATGATAAATCAATCCTATATATACAAGTATATGTAAAGAAAAAAAGATACATTTTGTTTAATATCCAATCCTATTTGTCTAATAACAATAAAAATATTTACTTAAGCATCAAAACATTATTAGATAGCACGGCGAGAACGAGAAATATGGTTGAATAAAAAAGACAACGCATACATAGAAATTGGAAATTTCTTTTATTATACCAACACTTCGACCTTCATGTCATAATTAACCTCAGTAATCACGACAAGACTCGTTGCACTTGCTCGAGTTTGATATCAGTAAATCAATCAGACAATGTTATAAGTTAGTAAGCGATTCTCGATCAACTAGTATCTGTTGGACATTAAATTAAGAAACAACTTAAAAAATGATTATAAAACCATTAAATAAAACTTAATAATAAATATGATTATATCATACTTGAGTCAAGATTAATCTATGACTAATAATGGATTCTTCAACCAAACAAATACAAGTAAATATAAAGAAAAAATGTAAGTTTGTTTTTAACATCTAATCAAATTCGTTTTAGACCAACAAACAACAGTATACTAAATTAAGTATCTTTTACTAGTATCTCTCCCTCCTTCTACTTGGACCAGCTGGAAAATAAAACTATCAATTTTGTATGCACGATATAAATAGATAATTAAATCATAAATAATTAAAAACTTAGTACCGCTTATTAATACTCTTAATCAAAATAAATAAGTAAGGTTAATTACGAAACTTACAATTATAATAGAAAAATGAAAAGGTGAATTGCTTCAGTGTTCTTTTATAAGATACGCGAATAAATAAATCAATATTTTTACAAATTCTTAAATTGTTTTTAATAGAGAATTTGATATGTATAGAACGAAACAACTTTTTATATGAAATTAAAAAATATACAATTTTATTAAAATAATTAAATTGTTTAAAATTAGACAATGTTAAATTTTATCTTAATTAAATATTTGTATTTTTTCATGTCAATTTTAGTTATGATTAGATATTTTTTTATTAATCTTTATAGAAATTATATTTATTTAATTGGTTAGAATCCTAATCATTGTAGAACACTTTTATATTTACTCAATATTAGCAAGTTTTATTGATGAATGTTAAAGATTGCATTTTAATAACATTAACACGTGAACTAAATGTTTTCAGTGACATTATAATTTTTATACTGATGAATACAATAACTATTTTTTACCAACGTATATTGTTTTTTGATAATAATTTGTTAAAATTTGTTTTTAATTTTAACAATGAAAAACTTTCATTGAATATTAATTAAGATTATTTTTTATTGATGTCAACCGAAAAAAAAAATCAGTCGATATTGATTGAATAGTCAATAAAAAGAATCCCATTATCATTATTATTGGCATAAATAAATATGGTTAATATCACGAAAACATATTTCGAACAAAACAAAGATTCATTAAAATTAATTAAAAATTTATCAGCATAAATAATTATTAATGACATATTCCATTTTTGGTAGAATAATAAAAAAGTTCCAACCTTATAAAAACAAATTTAATTTTGGTTGCTTTTATTTGAACTGCAATAATGATTAAAGTAATTAAACATATAGTTAGTCTTTAGTAATGGTTTTATATATATATATATATATATATATATATCTCTCTNAGAGGAAGAAGAGAAAGGAAGATGAAAGCGAGGGAGGGAGAAAGGGAGGAAGGATGGGCAGGCATTGCGGTCAGAATCGTGGTTCAGGTGTGGAGACGCACATGCAGAGTACCATGGAGGCGAAAGAGATGTCAAAGGAGAAGAGGAAAACAGGGGTAGCAGTAGTAGAAGTAGTACCGTAGTAGTTGAGTTTCAGATCGCGACTGGTTGTACAAGGCAGGGCCATTAAAGAAAGAAAGGGACAGATATTAGAGATTCGAAGCTTGGTGTAATGAAGAGAGAGAATAACCAAAAGCACACAAGACTGTTGTGTTGTGCTGTGTCGCTTTGAGTGTGTGAGTTTGTGTGTGTCGGCGAAAATAAGAAACTCGAAAAAATTAATACTACAATGTACTGCTAACATAATAATGCTGTAGAGCTAATACTAATAATATAGAAAAAAGCGAAAAATAATAATGTGAACTGGGTGGATGTTTATATTATTTTATGGGGTCCCACACCTTTTTTCCCTTCTGAGGTTTTGGATTTTGTGGCTTTCGTTTGCACATTCTCATTCTACACCTTTCGGGCTTTTACCCTTCAAACTCTGTCATTTCAGCTTTCCCAGCTTCTCTTCATTTCATACCACTTTTGTAGTCTTGTTTTCTCTCTCCGGTCACATCCTCACACCTGCTACACGGGGCAAATTTAATTCAAA